AAGAGCCCAATAAAAATGGAGTCATCCATGCCAGGATTTCCAAGCAAAATCCTGAGGATTTTTCTTTGTCAGTTCCCTACTCCTCTACCCCACTATCAACTCTGCACCTATGGCAGTGGGAGGCAGCTCCCTGTGGTAGAAAGGGCGAAAGCTTTGAAGTCAGAAGCCTTGGACTGGAATCTTGCCTCTGCTGTTCATACCCTGTAGGACTTTGGGCAAGTCACTTCCCCAAAACCTGGGTCTCGGTTTCCCTACTTGTAAAATGAGTGTTTAATGATCTGTTCAGATCTTTCCAGTGCTATATCCTGGGAGCCTGAGATCCTAGGACTTGAATCTGCAGACATATGGTCAGCTGTTTTTTGAGAGGCAGTGTGGAGCAGTGGGAAGGCATTTGCTCCTACAGTCAGTTGCCAAAACCTAGACAAGGCTTTTGGGCATCCTTCAAAAGATCTGAGAAGTGTGCCTCCTCCCTCTGCCTTTTGTGTGGCACTGACCATTTCATACTTCAGAGATCCATGATTTCATGTAAGGCTCTTGGGCTCCATGAGAAGAGGATTGTGGTGAGAGTTTCTTTTCCTTTAGTACTCAATGATTCCAAAGCACGTTGTCTTATCTAAGTCATACAACGCTATGAGAGAGATAATCATTCCCATTTTATAATAGAAGAAACTGAGCCAAACAACTCAGGGGAAGTGAGTTGTTTAAGGTCCCACAACTTTTAGGTTGCTGGGTCAGGTCTTCCAGTGAGTGTCAGAACTAGAACAGAGCAGGACAAGCGAGACAGGCATCTGCCTAAGTCACCACATCTGGGGGTGGGTTCAAATAAATATCCTTTTTCATGTGACTTTTTATAGAGGAATGACTCTGCCTGGCATTCAAGGCTCCCCACAATTTGAAAGCCGTCTAACTTACCAACCTTTTCTTATATTATTTCCCACCATGTACACTCTATGCTCCAGTCAAAAGGGACTTCTTGTCCCCCAGATTTCCCCTATGCTATCATGCTTTCTTCTTTTTATCCACATGGTTTCCTATCATAGGCAGTGATGTGGTACATTGAATAGAGAGTTTGACTTGGAGTCAGGAAGACCTGAGTTAAAAAAAATGTCCTCTCAGCTTTAGTTTCCTCATCTGGAAAATGGGGATAATAATAGTACCTACTTCCCAGGGTTGTTAGAAGAATAAAATGAGATAATAAATATAAAGAGCTTTACAAACCTTAAAGTGCTATATAAATGTGAGCTATTATTATTGTTATTATTATTATTATCATCACATTTCATTATAATGTACACTGAGGGTTTTTTTAGGGTGAGTGCTCATTGACTACTCAGTCACAACACAAATTTTTGTTCATCAAACAGACTAAAAAAAAACTAAAACTTAATTAAACTGAATGTTTTTAAATGAACAGCTAAACTTGACTTTAAAAATGAGACAAAAACCAAAAAATTTTTTGAGACACTGGGGTTTGTTGGGCCACACCTAGGCACACACCTATGTTTTCCATGCTTAGAACATACTCTCTCTCCCTATGGAAGAGTTAGAGTTGCCTCTGTTAAAGTTATCTAAAAGTCCAATGAACTGCCTTGGGAGGCCATGAGCTCTGCACCAGAATCACAAAATCTTGTAATCAGAATTGACTACAGACACCCTGTACTCCAACCCTTATCTAAACAATACAGATGTCAGTGAACAAGCACCTACTGTTTATTAAGCACCTACTATGTGCTAGGAGCTATACTAAGCACTGATGATACAAAGAAAAGCAAATGGATAGAGAATAGATAGGTAAAATGAATAGATAGATAAAAAGATGAGAGATAGAAGGATGGATGCATAGAGAGATGAAAGATGAAGGGATAGATGGATAGATAGAAGATGGAAAGATAGAAAGAAGGATGGATGGGCTGCAAACATGGAAGGATAGAGGGAAGAATAAAGGGATCCATTGATGGAAAGATAGAAGGATGGATAGATAGAAGATAGGATAGATAGATGAGAGAGAGAAAAGCAAGACAGTCTCTGCCCTCAAGGACCTTGCATTCTAGTAGGGGGAAGACAACACATAAAGGGGTACATGGGGTGGCATGGCTGGAAAGTGCTGTGTACACCCTGAATCAAGAAAGACAAGGCTGAAGCTGACCTGTCAAAGGCAAGGATAATTAAAGACAGAGTCCAAGGGACTAGAAATGATGGCCCTAGTAGAGTCTGTTGGAGGCAACATGGCTAGAGGGATCTAGTATGTCAATATATACTATATATATAGTATATACCTGACAAATTATCATCTAACCTTTCCTTGAAGATTTCTAGTGAGGGGGAACTCAGTATCTCCCCAGGCAGCTCTTTCTACTTTTAGATAGTTCTAACTGTTAGAAAGGGTTTTTTGTTTTGTTTTGCATTCATCCAAAGTCTGCCACTCTGCAACTGGTTTCTAGTTCTGCCCTCCAAGAATAAGCAGAATGAAACCAATCTTTTCTTTACAACACAGTCCTTCAAATGCTTAAGGAAGACCATCGGGTCCTCCCCCAAATCTTCTCTTCTCTAGACTCAACATGCCCAGTTCCTTGAATAAGACTGATCCTCAACCAGTATGGTCTTGGGACCCTTTGCCATCTTGGCCACTTTCCTCTGGATACTTCCTAGAGGAGCCCAAGCTGGATGACAGCTTGTCAGGGGTGGGGCAGAGGTGGCTTTTGCTCATGTAAGACACCGGTTGGCTGGATGTGGCCTCTGAAGTTGCTCCACTCCTGAAAGTCTGTGAAATGCCATCTGCTACATGAATCCTTTCCTGATCTCTGTTTCAGAATAATGACCCTTGCCTCAACCAATGCTGGATTTGAAATCAGACCTAGGTTTAAAATCCAGCTCTGTCCCTTTCCTATTTATACAACCTTAGACTTCTTACTTATCCTTTCTGGGCCTCAGTTTCCTCTTCTGTAAAATGGAACTGGACTGGATGACCTCTAAGATCCCTTCTAGCTCCAAATCTATGATCCATTATGATCTACGGCCTCCCACAATACTTTGACTCTGTTTAGAGGTACAGCCGCTACAGTGCCAGGTCTGGAGTCAGGAAGACTCATCTTCCTCAGTTCTAATCTAGCCTCAGACGTTTAATAGCTGTGTGAGTGGGCGAGTCACTTAACCCTGTTTGCCTCAGTTTCCTCATCTGTAAAGTGAGTTGGAGAAGGAAATGGCTTAGAATCAGGAAGACTTGAGTTCACATTCAGCCTTAGATATTTGCTAGCTATGTGACCCTGGGCAAGTCATTTAATCTCTGCTCCTATTACCCCAATTCTAAAATAAGGATAATAATAGTACCCCTACTTCCCAGGGTTATTGTGAGAATCAAATGAGATAATATTTGTAAAGCACTTAACATAGTGCCTGGCACATAGTTGGTGCTTAATAAATGCTTGTTTCCTTCCTTTAAACACACTTATCATGTAATATTTCATATCATAGATATCTGTGTTTGCCTTATGTCCATGTGCCCAGTCCATAATGGCTCATACTGGCTGGCTAGCTGCTACTTTATCTGCTCCCTGACATTCTGTCTTTCAATCGGTCTCCATTCTGATATTGAGGCAGGGGACAGGATATCAAACCTTCCTCCTATGTTGGCTGCCTGTGAATATTTTCTTTCTTTTTTATTATCATTAGCTTTTATTAATTAGTGATTATAAAGTTTGCCTGACAATTAGCAGTCTATTTCTGTTATAACTATTTTTTAATTATTTAATTTATTTTGATTTATCAACAAGCACTTCCATAAGCTTTTGAGTTTTAAATTTTCTATCCCTGCCTTCCCACCTCCCTCCCCAAGATGGCAAACAATCTGATATAGGCTCTACACATACATTCCTATTAAACATATTTTCACATTAGTCATGTTGTAAAAAAGAATTAGAACCAATAGGAGGAACCGCAAGAAAGAAGAAACAAAACAAAACGAGGAAAAAAAAGAGCAAATAGTATGCTTCGATCTGCATGCAAACTCCATAGTTCTTTCTCTGGATCCATCATGAGACTTTTGGAGATGTCTTAGATCCTTGCATTGTTGAGAAGAGCTAAGTCTATCAATATTAGCCATCGCACAATGTGGCTGTTACCGTGTACAACGTTCTCCTACTTCTGCTCACTTCACTCAGCATCAGTTCATACAAGTCTTTCCAGATTTTTCTGAATTCTGCTTCCTCATCATTTCTTATAGCACAACAATATTCCATTACATTCATATACCACCACTTGTTCAGCCATTCCCCAATTGATGGGCATCTCCTCAATTGCCACCACTGAAAGAGCTACTATAAATATTTTTGTTCATGTGGGTCCTTGTCCCATTTTTATTATTTCTTTGAGATGGGTCAAAGGGTATGCACATTTTTATAGCCCTTTAGGCATAGTTCTAAATTGCTCTCCAGAATTGTTGGATCAGTCCTGTGAATATTTTCAGTGGTCACCATGGAGCCATCCCTAATATAGCAGCTCTACCTTCTACTAGACTATTCTATAGAAATTAAGGCTGTCGTCCCTCTTACCAGAACTTGTGGATGGCTTCCCTTTATGTCACACTTTCAGGGTTCTTCCTTTTTCTCTCACCTTGGTAAGGTGAGCAGAATGCTTGGTAAGCATTCCCCCTAGCTTCCTTGTTAACCATCAGACTCCTCTAACCTGTCCTCCACTACAATGCCCTTCTCTAGTTTCCTAGCAACTGAATTTCAGAGAGGGGAAGGGACTTACCCAAGGTCACACAGCTAGTTAGCAGCAGAATCAGAGCTCAGAGGCAGGTCCCCTAACTCCCCAGTCCCATGTTTTTTTTTTTCCACTACCCCATTTAGTCTCTTTTCCATCTGTGTTACAAAAGTGGAGCCAAGTATAGACAGCAGGCCTTCTTCATAAGCTCACTCACAAGGATTAAGTTTCTAGCCTCATTAGTCATTTCGGATGACATAGCCAACACTTTCAGCCAGCACCACAAACCCGTAAAAAGTTCATATATGCCTGTCTCCTCGACTAATCAGAGGAACTACTGTATGTGCAGCAGGCAGTACAACAGACCAGCCAATCACTAGGGTTTCCAAATTGGTTTTGATTAATTACACAGACTCAGCTTTAATTGGTGCCAACATCACTGCCAGAGAGCTTATGGGGAAGCAGGATGTTATGCTTTCATTCCCTTAAGTCACATAAAATCATGAAAGATGGGGTAAAGAATCACTTGTAGTTCAAAATTTATTGACCATGCAGACCCAGAAAACACAAACATGACCATTTTGACTGACTCTGAAGCCAGTTCCCTCTGCTCTCTGCAGCTGTGCAAGGGTCTCCTCTGCACCCCCATGGCTACTGCAGTGGGCTGTTATTTGATTTAGGCATAAAGCATCCACTCTGTGCAGAGTGGCCTCCAAGCCATAGTTTCTAAGACAGTTACAATTAGGCACCTACTATGTGCAGAGAGACCTCCAAGTAGTAGTTTCTAAGGCAATTGTGTTTATGTGTCTTAGTTTATACGTATCAGAGGCAAAACATAAACACAGGTCTTCTGACTCCAAGTCAGCATATTCTCTAATAATAATAAAAATAACATTTATTATGTGCAGAGTGGTACAAAAACTTTGATTTCTAAGACATAATCTACATGGAGAGAGAGAAAGAATGAGAGGAAGGGGAGAAAGAATGAGAGAGGGAAGGGAGAAAGAATGAGAGAGGGGGAGAGACAGAAACAAACACAAAAACAGAGACCGACAGGGATAGCTAGGTGGCACCATAGTGCACAAAGCTCTGTGGGAGTTAAGAAGACCTAAGTTCAAATTTGACACTTGCCAGAGTCACTTACTGTGACCCTGGGCAAGTCACTTAACCTCTGTTTGCCTCAGTTTCCTCATTTGTAAAAAAGAGAATAATAATAGCACCTACCTCCCAGGGTTGTTATGAGGATCAAATGAGATATTTGTAAAGCACTTAGCACAGTGCTCTGGCACATAGTAAGCACTCTATAAAAACATTAGCAATGATGATGATGATCGTGATGGTGATGAGGATATGATGATAATGATGATGATGATAATAGCACTGACTTAGATTCGGGATGACCTGTGTTCAAGACATGCCTATGATACATACATATAAGCTGTGTGACCATAGGCAGATCACTGGACTTCTCAGTGCCTTGAAAACTCTCTAAGACTAGAGTTTAGATCTACATAGTGTAGGTGGAGAGAGTTCTGCACACTGATGAAATCACAAGACTGGAACAAAAATAAAAAGTTAATTGAACTGTGAGCTAGATGTCTCAAGGCTTAAGTCTCAATTTCATTACCCTGCAATCCTACAATGATGTAAAGTAAGTCTCTCAACCTCCCAAGTGTCCCAGGTAACTTTTTTTTTTTTGGTGAAGCAATTAAGGTTAAGTGACTTGCCCAGAGTCACACAGCTAGTGAGTATCATGTGTCTGAGGCCAGATTTGAACTCAGGTCCTCCTGACTCCAGGGCTGGTGCTCTAACCACTGTGATACCTAGCTGACCCCCCCCCCCACATAACTTTCTAAGATCCTAAGTTTGAGATCCTATGTTGATCTGCACCAGGGGAGGGAGTTTTCAGACCTAGAGTTATCTTCGCTGATGCAAACCTAGGGCAGACCAAAAAAGAAAGAACACAGAACCATATTCAAGATATGATTTCTAATGAATGCCTGGTCCCTAGGGTAGATGGGAACAAAGTGTATACCAACACTTAAAGGTAATTAACAGGATAATTCAGGGACAAGGAAGATCCCTGTTGGGGGGGGGGGGGGGGGAGGGAAAGGGTCATGGTTTAGGTCAGAATATGAGAAAGAAAACCAGAGTCCATAATGGGTTGATCAAAAAGTTCCCCAGAGGACCAAATCCAAAGGACAAGATAGGAAGCAGTGAAGAGAGAGTGAAACAGTGATTCCAAAAACCAGAAGAGTCAAGAAGAAGCCAGTTAGGGTGGAAACATTCCAGGCAGCAGCAGTAGATGTGGACTTGTTCTGTAGTGTGGGTGTTGTGATGGGACCGAACATCCAGAACCTAAGGATGATTGAGTACAGACTGGGTGTAGGCTCACATTAGGGGTATGATTTCTATCCTGGGCATAGAGACAACCATAGAGCTAAGAAAATCCAAGCACAAGTTCTGCTGACTTGTCCTTATTGTATGACCCTGGGCAAGTCACTTAACTCTCAGTGCTCTGGACAATTCTCTTTAACTAAGTTGCACAGAGGGTACCAACCTGCAGTTTTGTAGTGGTCTCTGTAGCTATGAAATCACAAATTCCTATATTAGACCTTTATGCTTACACATCCTAAAACTACCTTTTATGATAATTACTTTCAGACATGTTTCATGACTCATGACTATTAGACTGGCAGGTAGGTGGCACAGTGGACAGAGCACTGGGCTTGGAATCAGGAAGACTCATCTTCATGAGTTTGAATCTGGCCTCAGATACTTACTCGCTGTGTGACCCTGGGCAAGTCATTTAACCCTGATTGCCTCCATTTCTTCATCTATAAAATGAGCTAAAGAAGGAAATGACAAACCACTGCAGTAGTTTTGCCAAGAAAACCTCTAATGGGGTCACAGAGTCAGATACTACTGAAATAACTGAACATATGACCTCCCCCATTAGACTCATGTCTCTTGAAGGCAGGATTGAGGTCTTATTTGATCTTTGTATCTAGAACCTATGGCACATGGTAAGTGCTTAATAAATTTTTTTAATTTAACCTAATTAAATTTCTGAAACACAATTGGCAGGTCCTACCAATTCAGTTCAGTTCATTTCAACAAACAATTATCAAACACCTAAGAAAGTGCAAGGCCCCCAGCTTGGTGTTGGGGCTGTACAATGATGAAAAATGACACAGTCCCTGCCTGTAAGGAATTTATAGTCTCTCTCCTCTCCAGCTATCTCCTTCTTAACCTCCTTGCCATTTCTTTTCCTTGAAAGTACCCTTTCTTCTCCCAGAATCCCTCCAGTTCTGGAAACATGAACCATTATCAGATCAGTCCCTGTCATTGTTTCTGGATAGGGTGCATCAAACTCTGCCTATGGTCTCAATCACTATCCTTGAAACTTTGAGGACCAAAATTCTTCTCCTTGTCCACCACTCCCTTAAATGTATGTTTCCTCCATTAAAATATAAGTCCCTCAGGGCAAGGTCTTTTGTATATGTATCCTCTATGCTTAGCACAGAATAAACACTTGAATTTTCATTCATATACAAAAAATGAAAAATGACCCAGTCCCTGCTTTTAAGGAGCTCATAATCTACTGAGAGGGGGAGGGAAATGACACATACACACCAATATAAAGGCTAAATCCAGACAAAGTACTCACAAGGCAGCTGGTGTTGGGGGGGGTGGGGTTGGATGGTGGTGGTGTAGTTCTTAGAGTGTTGCACCTGGAGGCAGGAAGACTTGAATTCAAATCCTGCCTGAGACTTTAGCTATGTGACCCTAGGCAAGTCACTTTATCTTTCTCAGCTTTAGTTTTCTCATCAGTAAAATAGGGATAATATGAGACAGCATATGTAAAGTGCTTTGCAAACCTTAAAGTACTATACAAATACTAGCTATTATTACTTAGGGGCAGTTAGGTTGCTCAGTGGTTAGAGTATTGGGCCTGGAGTCAGGAAAACTCATCTTCCTGAGTTCAAATCTGGCCTTGGACACCTACTAGTTTGTGTGACCTTGGGCAAGTTACTTAACCCTGTTTACCTTAGTTTTCTCTTCTGTAAAATGAGCTGGAGAAGAAAATAGCAAATCATTCCAGTATCCTTGTCAAGAAAACCCCAAATGAGGTCATGAACAGTAGGACACGACTGAACAACAATAACAACAAAATTATTACTCACTCTTAGAAAATTTGAGGACAGAAAAAAAATCACTTTCATCTTTGAGGGAGTGGGGAATGGGTGAGGGAGGGAGGGGCAGAGAAAGTAGCACCTGACCAGAGCTTTTAAGGAAGAAAAGGATTTCAACTAGCCAAGATGAGAAGAAAGAGCACACCTGACTGGAAAGCCTTCTCTTCCCACACAGGCCTGGTGATGGATTGGGTGTGTCTCTGTCCTCCAAGGATCAGCCTAGCTAAGTTCAGAGAGACTCTTCATCATCACAAAGGTGCCTCCCTACCTCCCACCAGGGAATGACTGTTTTTGATCACAGCAGCTCACAAAACTTTCTACTAAGGTGTGAGGGGGTTGGGATTTGTGTCAGTGGTAGGAGGGCACCCCACAATGAAGTAACAACTCCTTGAAAAATTTATGGGATTGCAACATCACAGGAATATGAGCCTTATGGTCTTCATGTTGGAAGGGTCTTCTGCTTCAAAAGACTTCCCATATCTATATCCTAAATATGCAAAAATATTTATAGCAGCCCTTTTCCTGGTGGCAAAATATTGGAAACTGAGGGGATGCCCATCAAATGGGAAATGGCTGAACAAGCTGTGGTATATGAATGTAATGGAATGCTATTGTGCAATAAGAAATGATGAACAGACAGACTTCAGAAAAACCTGGAAAGACTTGTTCCAACTAATGTAAAGTGAAATGAGCAGAACCAGGAAAACATTGTACACAGTAACAGCAACATTGTGTGATAATCAACTATGAATGACAGCTCTTCCCAGCAGCACAATGATCCAAGACAAATACAAAGGATTCATGAAGGAAAATGCTATCCATATCCAGGTAAAGAACTAATGGATTCTGAATGCAGATCAAAGCATATTTTTTTCACTTACTTTATTCTTTCTTGTGTTTTTCCCCTTTTGATCTGTTTCTTCTTTCACAACTATGACTAATATGGAAATATTTTTACATGATAGCCCATGTATAAACTATATCTAACTGCCTACCATTTTCAGAAGAGGAGAAGGGAGGGAGGGAGAAAATTTCGGAACTTGACATTTTATAAAAAACGAATGCTAAAAATTTTCTTGCATGTAACTGGGGGAAAAATAAAATACTTTTAAACTAATAAAAAAGAAAGAAAGAAAAAGACCTCCCCCACTCCCACACCTGTCACCAGTGTCTGAAATTCCAGCATTAGAGGTTCATTCCGTTAGGTTAAGGCATCCACGTATACATCTAATCATTCAGCAGATACCATTTGAATGTGCCTGTCATTTGTTCCCTGTTCATCCATTCATTCAGTGGACATCTCTTCTCAGTCCTTTCTTTCCCACTGATTTCATCAGTGTAGGGAACTCTTAGTCAGGAAAC